CTCATGAAATACTCAATCCCTTCTACCTATAAACCATACCCAATTAATTAGGTGATCTAGCTGAAGAGACTTCCATGTACAGTGTTAACTGTGCTGCCTGGCTTCCTCTTGCTGATTTAGTAAAATGTGAGGAAAAAGTGAAGGATAAAATGACAAATATGACAGGCATAGAAATTACTGGTTTTGAAAATTATCAACTTTTAGTTTGTAAATGATGTTATATTTGAGAAATGGCTTTCAGGTAAAAATCAAATTTTGGGCACTGGCAGAAAAATGAGCTCTTAAGATGAACCTGAGGGTGTGGCTGTAAAAATTAACATCTTCCAAGTGGTATATTCAAAATCTCTCTAGTCAAGCAATAGGGCTTCTAAGAAGCTTGAAGTTTTCCCTCATGTCAGAAGACCAGGAGGAGGACTTTTCTTGAAAAGACTTTGTGACTGTAGCTTTTGCCTATTGGGATGATGCCAATAAAATACACAGAAGACTTGGTGTGTTTTCGAGAGAATTAGCTTTGCAGAAACACTAAACATAGACTGAAAGAGACAGAGGATTATAAAATTGAGATCACTAGACCCTCCCCCAACTTTTATGGGGCGAAAACTGATGAAGAAAGCTGCAAACAGGCTGCTTTCAATGAAACAGTTGAAATAAAGAGACCAAAGGTTGAAGCAAAAGCCAAGAAGTATTCCCCATCCTTGAATTCTAATGAAGTACCTGCCACTCCATACCTTGCAGGATTTCAGAATTTCTGTGGATCAGTGACAAATTGCTTCTGTTATTGTCCAGGCTGAGGAGTATCCTGGGATCCCCAAACTTGTATGCTCTAAAGGGGTTCTGCCATCTGCCACATAAAGGGGACAGAAGGGGTCGGATGAGGATGGGATGAAGGGATCAAAATTAAAGAACAAGTCAAGATAAAGGCTGTCATTGTCAGCCTCCCCACATGTCTCTTCTGAGTGTCTCTACATGTCTCAACTCCATGTGTCTTCTTCAGTTTCCTCCAAGTTCCTGGTGCAAGTCCAAAGCTGAGATGCAAGCACATTTTTTTTTTTTCTTCCGTGTGTCTCTCTGCTCCTCATGTCTCTTCCAGGTCTTCTCTAGCCTTGTCTCACAGCCCAGCTCCACCCTTCATGAGGTGAGGCAGGAAACATGGAACCTCCCCTTTTTATAGCCATTCCTCTCTGTGACACTTCCTATGTGCCTTTCATTTTTTCCTGCACTTTGATCTGTATAGTGTGTCTGTTACCTTACACCTGTCCTATCTCATTTTGGCATGTGTGTGTGTTGGGGAGGGGGAGCAGGTAACTCATCAGCTTTAGTTCACTGGCATTCAACTTGAGTGGCAATACCACTGGACTCCAGGGCTATCCTTAAGGATCCATGCTTAAGGAATCTCTTGCACATCTGAATCTGATTTAGATGACATTGTGGACTTTGTGCTCACCTTATAAAGGGATGAGGATTTTCAGAGCCTGAAGAGGGAAATTATGTATTTTTCATTTGGAAGGGTCATGGAGCTTTAGGGTCAAAAAGAGAAATGTGGTTCCTAATCCCCAAGATGGCGTTCAATGATTCTCACCTCCAGCTATTTATCTTCTTGTATAGCCCTTCCCTCAAGGGCAGTCCTATATGTAACAGGCAGGTTACAGGAAGTAACAGAGACTTGAAAAGCTGGAACATGAAACATTGTGATTCCCATCTCACTTTGTGTGGGTCACTGACTTTGTTAAGCAGCCTATGGAGATGCCCATATGGTAAAGAACTGAAGCTTCTTGCTCAAAACCAGCCTTGATTTGCCAGCTATGTAGTGAGTCACCTTGGAAGCAGCTGCTCAAGCCTCAGGAGAACCTGCAGATGACCTCAGCCTCGCCTGACAACTCATCTACATCCTGATGAGAGACCCCCCCCCCACCCCACCAAGAAGCCTCACCCATCCAGTTCAGGCCACTCCTGAATTCCTGACTTTCAGAAACTGTGAAATGATGAATGTCCATTTTAGGTTGCTAAGTTTTGATTAATTTGCTAGGGAGCAATAGAGAATCAAAAGAGGTACTACAATGGGAAAATATAAACCTGGAAATCGTGGTAAATTCTTGTGGTATCCTCATCTTGCTTCAGTTGTTAACATGTGCTGTTCTTGATTCATTGTGCTCTCTAACTTATCCTTGCCCCTTCCACCCCACACCTGTTATGATTACCCTTATAATTAATTGAACTTCAGGGGTAGAAAGGCAATTGGAGAGGGTTTGAAATTTTCAGCCATCTTGCTTTTTCTATTTATCTAGTCTGCTTTTATTCACAGGTGTTGAAAAATTTAAGACAGAAAATATTGCAGATATTAAAGGATGACCCTTTTTTGTATTTATTTTTGAGAAGCTATTTTTGTTTTCCAAAGTGTGTGAATTGTAGATGTCTAGAGTAGGTTTTTGATTTGAAGTATTTTATATAAGTTGAACTATGAAATACTTGCGTGAAGGGTTGCCCTGGGGAGGGCTGGGTTTCCCTACTGTGCTCAGAAAAGTGTTTGGCCTTGGCAATGGGTGACAGATCCAGAAACTAATTTCACAGATGAGGAAAATGGGACCAGAAAGGTTAATGTTTCCAAAGTCATACACTTGGTTAGTGGCAGAGCTAACATGGAGTCCCAGCTACCAATTCCAATGAGATTGTTTTTTTTGTTTGTTTTTACTTGTATTTATCTTTGCAAGTCTCAAATGAATGATTCCCTTAAATGAGGGCTAATTTCTCCTGCTTAATATGTTGAGTTGGATGTGACTTTTTGATATTTCAATAGATGTGAAAATTTGATAATTTTGTATTTCCCCCCAGGCAATTCTCTCCCTAGTTCATTTGAAATAGAAAAAAAAAAAAAATCAATGGGCACAAGTCCAGTAAACATGATTGAGGGTAAAATTGTGATCTTAATATAACATGTCGAAATGGGCCACAGGTGACTTTGTTTATAAAGTTTACTCTAAGTTGAGCATTACCTACTAAAAAGATAGTCTGCTTTTAATATAAAACCTTTATTTTAAAGTAAAAGTTAATCTAGTTAATTGTATTTTTTCTTCATGTCCAATGAGGTATAGTTGCTTTGGATTTTAAGTGATTTCTTTCAAATTCTTGGATGGATTTTGAGATATATGGCTTTATCTATCCTTATCATCTGTACATATTTGTCAACCAGATAAATGCTTTTATGTTTTCTTGAGCTATGTGAAGAATTATTTTGGCTGTTAGTTTAATAGGCTTGCTTTTTTCTTTTTCTTTTTTTAAAAATGCATCATAACATTTTAAACATGCAAAACCAAACAATCTGTGGGAAGGTGTCTAACATATTACTTTTCCATTTTTGATAAGAGGTTTGCCTCCTATAGCATTAGGGTACTGGGGCACCAAACCATTTGGTCTTATCTGCTTCTCTGCAGATGAATTTGAAAACCATTAATTTGAATCTTTTGGTAATTACAGATAGTGTAAATTTTAGAAATTGTGTGAGTGTAACAACAAAATGATTTCTCTGCTCTTCCTAGGATTTTGCCAATACATTACTTCCCCTTTTCCCACAAAGTAAGATTAAATGCCTTCCAATGAACTGTTCAACTTTTGACCTGTAAGCTCCTTGAATCTTTGACCTTTATTTAAATGAATCATAGATTTCAGCTTTCAAAGGTCACTCACACTGCCTTTTACTGAGCAATACGTTGGAATAACCTCCCACCTATAGTTATTGTCCCAGTATCTCTTAATTCCCTAGTAGATTAATGTTGCTTTGCTCAGGCACTATATTTGCTTGCCTTTTCCCCAAATCCTCTTACTGTCCAAGAATCCAAGCTGTTGAATTTAGCCTCTTCATCTTTCTATTATTCCCTCCCACCTGCTGTGCCACCTGCCTTTTCCTCCTGTGATGATGGGCTCACAAGGGAGGTAGTGGCTTCACCCTCTGGCAGGTGGTCTTCTAGATCCTTGTGGCTGCTGTTAGGGAGAGAGGTGAGGTTCAGGGAGGCTCGCCCAGGCTCACACCACAGATGTTTAAGTGGGTGAACGTGTGTTGGCATGCTGAGAAGCCATTCTCTTGCCTGAGAATCCTCACAAAGTGTAGGTGAAGGTAGACCTCACAGGGGATTATCCCAAGCTCTGCCCCGGAAAATGCTTACTTTTGAAAGAGGAGCTAAGATGGAAGCTCAAGGTCCTGCTCACCAGTGTCTCTCTGAAATGCAGCTGGCCAGAGAATAGGACATGTTGTGTCCAGAGCAGGTAATGTTAAAGAAAAGCATTGTTTGGTGAATGGAGGATTTTGGGTTTTGGTTTTGAAATTAGATATGAGGACAGCCTAGATTTTCATTTTCTGAGGCAGGTGCAGGGCGTGAGTAATGCAACACACCTCAACTATGCGACTTAGCCAATGAGCACTCGCTTTTCTCGGATCCTATAGTATGGTTTCCCTGTCTGTCAAGAGCCAGCTCAGCAACCAAACCCAGATTCCAGGTGTGGTGTTTATTCCACAGTCATTCTGTAATTTGTAATCATAGAAACAGAATGTTCCTCCTCTTATTTCTTCCCTGCCAACAGTTTCTGGGTGGGTGAATGTCAGTAGCTGGAGTTATTTTTAAAGAGGAGAGGTGAAGCTTGTCGTGCAAAGCTGGGAAGAGGGCGTTTGTTTGCAGAGCCGAGCTGACATCAAAGTGTAGATTACTGCTCAGTGGCTAGGCACTTGTCCTGTAACAGGTAATGTTTAACGTGCCAGTCACAAAGATCACAGAAACAGCGTATGCCCGGGCATAAGATAGCACCACCGTTTATGCTCTGGAAGACGGAAAGACTGTACATGCCCATGTATTTTTTTTTTCCTAATATGTGACTTCATTGGTTTTTGCTGCCTTTTTTTTTTTTTGCTGGCTGTAATTGGACTTTGAAGCTCAGAAGTTATATGATAAAAATTTGTAACCTTTTGTCTGAGAGAGCACGGCTAAGCAGTCACTTTCCACTTCTTTTCACAGGATAATATAAACGTTTTTTTGAAAGCTTGTGAACAGATTGGATTGAAAGAAGCCCAGCTTTTTCATCCTGGGGATCTACAGGATTTATCAAATCGAGTCACTGTCAAGTAAGTTGCACTGGTTATATACGTTTTTAAACTTAGGGCTCGTAGCTTGAGTGAAAAGAATTCCTGAGAGTTCATGATCACTGAAAAAAATCTTTCCCCACTGTCTTGCTCTGTTCTCATTCCAAAACAGACTATTTAAAAAATAAGCTGAGGGACTGTGACTCTAAAGCTGGGTGTAATCGATAACATGTCATGGTCTTATTTTGAACTTCTCACTGAAATGGCGTTTACATCTTAATGCTTGTCCGACATGATTGTGTTTGGTGGCTAGTGGTGAGGGTATTAATTATACTTAAAGTGAATTTTGAGTTTATAGTATAGCTTACAGAATGAAAAAAATTCTTAAAAATAATTTTTATGTTTTGGAATTAAGACATAATTGCTAACGTAAAAATCAGTTGTAAAATAGGCAGTGGTAAAATACTCAGTACTTGGAAGGCAGCAGTGCCTGAGACAGCATCTAAAGCTAATGACATTGTCAAATGTGGCAGATTTTTAAAAATGAACTGTTTTTATTTTTTTAATAGTATGGATGAGAAAGTGAAAGTGGGGTGAAAGCATGGGTGCAGGTGTTTCTTTTAGGTTTTAGAAAGAAAATAGTGTTCGTGTGTGAGTATATAGTTTCAGGAAATCTGGTTTTAAGCCTTTATTTTCTTCTCTATAACTCTGATTTGCTTCCAGTGAATCAGAATAAACTCATGTTACCAGCTAAATGTAATAGGAAGATAATTAAATTTTGTAATAATGACTACCCTCCTTCTTTATCATTATGTCTCTTAACACCCAATTAACACTTTTCGGAGGGAGGAAAGAAACTCCTTTATAGAAATAGTAGAAATGAAAAAATTAGTTTATTCCAATTCAACTGCTTTTATAATTACTATAGCTGTTATAGCCTTCAAATTTAGGGGACTTATGGCCAATGTTTTCTCAAAGAAAAATAACCCTATATATAAATGTAGTTGATAGTACTCATGGCCCTTTAGCTGTATAGCCTGCAGCCCAGGTGGAATTAATTTTTTAAAAGTCTAATGATACATATATTTAAATAAACAAATCATTTAGAATTTATACGCTTTTTAAATTCTGTTGAATAAGCATTTCCAACATGTGCAGCCCCCATAACAAAGAACTTTCTGACCCCAAATATCAGCAGTGCATGACAGGGGTGAATCTGTCTGTATTTCTGATTAATAGAAAGGTAGTTGAGGGATGCTAAGATTTATCTCCAGAATGGTATATTTACTTCTGTAATATGCATGGTCATGTTTAATTTCCAAAAATAATTATATTGATGAATGTTTCATTTTTTCCTAATCAACATTTTCTTATCTAACTGGACAAAGAAAGCTTTGCCTTTGAAAGTCTTTTTCTGAAATTGTCATGCTCTTAAGAATAGATGCCTTTCCCCTTTAAATGGCTACACTATGTGTTTGAGTAGACTGTGGATTAGGCAAAACATGTCTGTTGGCTTCTAATTCTAAGAGCAAAAGCTGAGCATAGCTTCTCTGGAGCCCATTTCATTAAAGGTTGGGTCTAAAGTGTTCAGGAAAAATGAGCATTTCAGCTCAGCCTTCAGTGAAATTAAATTACCGACAAACTGAAACTGGGAGAACACGTAGTTGGAGCTGTTGTGGGAACTATGCAGAACAACTTGTTTCAGTGGAAACCACAAGTTCATAAAAGCAAGGTGTGCCTAAGTAGCAGTAGTGGAATGCCTGAGTGAGAACCTTCATTCTGCTTGAGGATATTTTCTGTGATGATTCTTTCTTGGACCAAAGAATGCAGGGGGTTGACCTGACTCTGCCAAAATGGAAGCAAGGGAGCTTCCCAGTTAGGCGAATCCAGGAAACTGGCAAACGGCTTCTTTGAAAAACAACTCGCCCGAGATACCATTTTTATAAAAGGAAGCCGGTTTAAAGGAGAGTAAATAATTGGTTACTAAATAAAAACACATTTCTTAGTTCTTAGTTTTTGTTCTTATGTGGAGATCATTATAGGTCATCAAAAATCTTGCCCTATCATTAACATTGATAAATGGATTTGGCTTTGGTTAGACCAGTGGTTCTCACTTTGAGCTGATCTGGTGCCCCGCAGGGACATCTGACAATGTCTGGAGATACTTCTGATTGTGGTAGCTGGAGTGAGGGTGCTACTAATATCTTAGTAAATTAGGGGTTTGGCTGTACCCTTTAAATGTCCAGGACAACTCCCCCACCAAAAAAAGAATTGTCTGACCTCAAATATCATTAACAACAAGGTTGAGAACCCCCAACTTACTCGTAGAATTCTTTTCTTCTTTTCATTCTACCAGTAAGACAATCATGTGGAAACCAAGGATATCTATGACTAACATACTGCTACACTCTGCTGCAATGTAACTTTTTACTAACATGTAATACTTCATATATTTCTATTTTAATTGTTTCATTAAAGGTAGAGCTCATTGTGATTTTGAGTGTGCGATAATGGGAGAACTTTGACATATGTTTGTTTGTCTGTACACATTAAAATGAGCAAAAATGTGGCAAACTATTTGATTATTGTACATGTAACTGCTAAGCCTGCTTCTAACAGTTTGTAGGCCTGTCGCTGAGCTGCTGTAGGCACACTCTGAGACACATGTTTGCGTGATATCCTGAGAGCAAATAGGAAAGGACAGATTATATCCTTATATTGACAAATGCAGGGAATCTTTATTAGTGGACAGCAGTAATAAATGACTTTCCGAGCCTACTGGAGATGTTGAAGAGCCATAGAGTAATTTTAGTAATCCAGACGCTAGCTACAAATCCTTATTTTCCAGCAATTTGAGATTTACCATTTAATTTGCAACACTTTTTCACTAGTCAAACAGAACAAGGATACTCTATATTTCTGTAATTATTCACATCAATTTGTGATCTAATGTCCTACCTGAATTACTTTCCTTCTTGCAGGAAGTAGATTGGAATTGTTGCAAATATGATTGAATTGTTCAATTTACTTGGGGGCTGCAGGTCAGGTGATAATTTTAATTTGACATTCCTGACTTTCATGGATAGGATTATTTTTATGCATTATCCTTCCAAAAGATTGATAGGCAAATTTGTGTCTCAGGCTATATTTGTGAGTTTGAATCCATCCAATTTGAGATGCTTACCGAACCCATGAAATTTAGCTTTTGTACCAGTATATTAACCACGTCTTTATTGTTAACCATTTACTAAATATCCATAATAAGCCTGGAAATACACATACTCCACAGAAATAAGGGGTGTGATGCCCCTAGAGCTGTCTCTGCACATTCTATTAAAGGCCTATGTGAAAGCAGACCTGAGCCCGGGGTCCCCCCTCAACCTACAGGAGAGCTTCTGTGACAAAGCCGTGGTCTGTGTGGTGGCACCAGCCCATCAAGGGGCACAGAGCAATTGTCCCTTGTAGAAAATGACTGAATAGCTCAGAGGTTGGCAGAAAGGTAGGATTGAGCATTGAAGTTTCCATTTTATTTGTCTAACAATTTGACTCAGAAACTAAGTTCTGAATTGAAATCATTGCTCTAAACAAATTATATTTTGAACTTTTTAAGCTGGGAATCAGAACAGATTGTAAACATATTTCTTCTTTCCACCCCCCTGCCATTCTGATCCAAGCTTTAGCACTTCCTTGGTTACATTCTGTTCATAATTATAGGGCGGCAGTGCTTATGAACACAACATTTCAGTCATGCAAAGAAAAATTATTATCTAATACATATTCTTTCATTATTTAGAGTATGAATATTTTAAGCATAAAATGTAACTTTAAATGTTTGTTGACTGAGTTTTTAAAATTATTTATCAAATGGAGGGTAAAGAATTCAAGAATCTGCTGTTTTTACACTTGCTGGTTGCCAAAGGAATAGTGCTTGGAAGCAAAACTAGTGTTAACATATTTCCTTCCAAAATAAAGGAGGAGGCAGAAAATGATATTTTAAGGATTTAACTGTTCTCTACAGCTTCAAAAGTGTGTTGGTTTTGCAGCAGTACTGTAAAGCCATGTCTTTGGAGTCCAGTCCCCAGATGTCTCTCTCTTTTAACAGTCTGCCAAATTGGGCTAGAGAGAAGAACGTGTATTTGTGGAATTATTTAGGGTTTTTTTTTTTTCCCATGGAAGTAAAAATATACCTCCTTTGAATTATGTATTTCCACCTTTTTCTAATTTAAAACTAGTTTTGCATTTTTTAATGTCTTTCAAGTGAGTTTTTCAACATTGCAATCCTTAAAAAAAATTGGAGAAAGCAAGCTTCATGATAGCCAAACTTGGATCTGTAATTCAAGCTTGGTGACTTCCACCTGTCAATTCATGTTACTATTTAAAAATGTTCCCTTCCCACCAAGTAATTAGAAGAGAAAAAAACAGAGCAAGTTGGCTGCACTGCGCACAACTCTCTCTCACTCAGTTGTCCTCGGGGGTCAGGCAGTTACTGAAAGTGGGGGCATTAATTCTTTTGGGGTGCCAACGTTCTGTTCAAGGCCAGCACAGAGAATGTATGGCCACGTTTTCAAGTGTTCTATAATTGCAAATTTTGACTGAAAGTCTACTTAGCTACAGAGAAAGGTTGTGGAATATGAAGCAGGTCCGATGCTGGGACGAGCTGTGAAAGAATGAGAGTTTTATCTGGTATTTGTTTTGCTCCATTTCTTGTTCTAATTTCTTGGAAAGTTGAATGATAAAGTCTTGATGCCAAATCTTCTGCCTTCACTCTCCACTTCCTCAAAATCCAAAAAGCCATGGGCCTGTTCTGTCTGGCTTGAGACTTCAAGTTGTTGATTTTTCTGACCAGCATCTTTATCTGAAAAGTAATTGACCTATACCTTGAACTGTAGTCTCACTTGGTGACTCATCTAACTCCCAGTCGACATGAGTCAGTTCATGGGAGGGTGATGGTATTGGCTTCCATTGACCATATAGCATTTGATCTATAATAAGGAGCTACAAATGGCAACCCAAGTGACAGGTATTTTTGTTGAGATTTTTTC